CCTCACAGAAAAGGGATTTTTTTCTTTGTGTAATCTGCCCATGCACATATGTAATACATGCACACAGGTGCATCTGTTCTCCCATCCCTTGATTGATAACCGTGTAGAAGCAAAGGCCAGCTCTTCCCAGTTGTTCTTAGCAGTGCTTGGCTGCACAAGTTTGCAGCAGGGCTGGCCAGTGCGTGGACTGCTTGAATCCTCTTACGCTCACAGGAAGCAGAGCACAAGGATGCCTTCCCCAATAACTTACCCTCACTGCTGCCCACAGTGCAGCCCTGGCTGTGACACAGAACGCAGCTCATTGTGCCCTGCCTCGGGACAGCTCTGTGCTAGGAGGTTCCCTGCAGGGTTTTCTGTTGCATTTTCTCCCTCTGCCTCAATGTGAGAGCAGGGACTCAGCCAACCCCTGCTGCACCTGGAGGGTGCAGGCTGTGTCCCGGTAACAAGACTCGCCCTCCTGGCTCCAACTGGGATTGAGGCATTATGAGGCAGGTGGGGCTGGCAGACAGGGCTGTGTGCTGCCTGTCCCTTATGTGCCCACCTCTCCTGCAGATCGTGGCCGCCCTGGACTCCAACCCCACGACAAAGCGCACCCAGCTCCAGCACAAGTTTGAGCAAGTGATTGCACTCATGGAGGACAACATCTACGAGTGCTGCAGTGAAGCCTAGGCTGACTGCAGCCTGGGAAGTGACCCCTAGAGTAACTGTTGTAGGGAACTTGCCTTGACCACGGGGACACCTTGGTCCATGTCCATGAGGGTCATTCTCAAACCAGCCCTGTGGCAATGGTGGGCCTTACCTGCAGCCAGAGAGCTCCCACACGTATCAAGAAGCAACAAGACAGCCTTTGTGCAGCTAGAAAACCATCTGGTCAACACTGTAGCACCCATAACTTACTGCTGTTGCAAGCCAGAAATGGAGGTGTGACATCTGTGGCAAGCTTGGTTCATCACTTCTCAGTAATTCGTTCCTGAGCAGCTGGCTCCCCACATCCCTGTCTGCATTCCTCATGGACAAGAGCAGGCTGCAGAAGCCATAACAAAAAAGCAGCCTCAGGGAGTAACAAGCAGAGATGGCATAGGCCATCAGAGCAACAGCAGCGCGTTCTCCATTCCACACCAGCCCTCTCACACCTGCATTTCTCTGACACCACGGACAATCAGCTGTTCACTATCTGCTGCATTCTGTGTATTTTTGTGCCTTTTAATTTTTGTATTGTATGTGCAAACATAACCACTCCTTCATTTGAGATTTGGGCAACCCAGGGAACTGGGGGTGAGTTAAAGCAGTTGCTTCCTATGTAGCAGGGGAATGCTGAAAGCACTTTATCCCCTAACAGCTGCTAGCTGGTTGGAGGGAGGGCACTGCATGTTGGTGTGGGACTGTTCTGCCCTGCCCCAGTTCCCCAGCCTGCATGCAGTCAACTGCAGTGTGCAGTAGGATAGGCAGATGTCCCTTACAACCCACCCTCCAGCCAGATAGGCACAGGCATCGCTTCCACCTGCAAGCAGCGAGCTGCTCCTCACTCCTCTCCCCACCCTACTGGCTGCATACACAGCTGTGGTGCTGACTTGAGCTCACCTCACCTCTGTCAGTCCTCTGACAGAGCAGACTGAGCCACATGCAGGGCAGAACATCCAGGCATCCTTCCTCCCTCTGTCCCACACTCTCTGGTATCTCACCAGGATCGTCACCTAAAGCAGGCCAGTGCTGGAGAATGCTGCTCTTAAAGCAGCTCGCTTTGCTTGCCTTGAAGCCAGTACACCATAGTTACCACCTGAGAGCAACAAAAATGGTTTTGTGACACGTTCAGTTTGTCAGCCCATAAAGGCAAGCAACGCATCCCCGTGGCAGCAAGTTGCTCTCACTCCACAAGTCAGCAGAGCAGGTCAGACATCACAAGGTGCAAACAGAGGTAGGAAACGCCACACTCCACGTAGTGATGTCAGCAAGCAGAGTCCCACTGCAGAGACAAACAGGACTTGTCTGAGGCCCAGGAACTCCACTGCTGTCCTGCAGCATCTGCTGGATGCCACGCTGGGATGGGCCCCATTTTCTCTCTGCTGGCAGCTCCTGTTCCACAGCCAGGGCAGCCACGACTGCTCTGGTCTTCTCCAGCATCACTCAGGCCCCTCTTCAGAGGCTGGACCACACGTCTGAAGCCAGCATTCCCCTGCAGACAAAGGCAACCTGCCATGAAAGCTAAACCTAGCTGTAGCTGTAGGCACCACATTTCCAAACTGCCAAATATATATTAAAAAGTGACTACCTCACTCCAGGCAGGGCCTCAAGGTGAGCCTCCATTATTCATCCAGCTGGAAAGGATGAAACCTGGTCCACCAAACTCCTCCTGGGTGACTTACTGCCACAGGCAGGTGGTCGCACCCCATCATTTCCAGTAACACATTTGTCAGAAGTTAGAACATCAGAGTTGTGTATGTGTATATAGATATCTATTTTAAAACAAATGATAGACTTTATCCAGTATGTTAAAAGGGGTAGGGAGGGGAGGGAAAGAAAAGAGGATTTGTTTGGGGTTCCGTTGTTGTTTTTTTGTTTTTTGTTTTTCTTTTCTTTTAAAGAGAACTACAGAAAAAGTACATACACTGTAGAAGTTTCAATGTCTTTGCTGAGGATGTGGTTTCAGAATAGAAACTAATGTAGCTGGGCTACATTTTATTTTGAAAGTGATTTCACACAAAAAATAATCTTGACTTTTTTTCTTTAGAAACTGTGAATAGTTGCCATAGATATAGACAGGCCCAGCACAGGGAAGGCGACAGTGAGAAGGACCAGGGTAGTAGAGAATGTTGAGCTTGGCTGGAGGTGAGGAAATGGCCATGGAGCAACAGCTCCATGTCATTACATGAAAAGGGCACAGGTGAGCCAGTAGTGAGCATGGTTTGACTCCAGGTGATGTGACTGGGCCATGTACTGGGGTCTATTGCTGTCTTATTTAATTTTTTCCAAAGCAGAAATAAAAAGCTACAACCATTCTAAAGAGGTAACTTTAAAAGAGCAAACGCTTGAGGGTTTGTAGTGTTGCCTTGAACCCTGAGCCCTTTGTAACATGTTTTTAAACTTTGGCATGTGTTGTGGGTATAGTGCCCTTACCTGCTGTGTAGTGGAAGTGGCAGACTCTCGGAGAAACCTATCTTTGTAATAAAACAAGGTGCTGAAACCCTGTGTAGTGAACTTCCTGGTACACACAGAGCCGAACACCAAGAGGCCATCTCTTGTCTGAGGCATCTTTCTCTCACACAGGCCATGCAAATCCCTGTGCTCCTCCACCTCAGGAACACGGGGAGGCAGGCAGCTGCCAGCTCCACCACGCAGCAGCGCAGTGCTCAGGGCTGGCAGCTCAGCAAGAACCATCTTCTTTCCCAATGGAACAGGTCTTATCCTCTTAAGGCCGCAGCAATTCACCATTCCTGCCTAGCATGCAGGAAGGTCCCACCACAACAGGATCTGACACAGAAGGTAGAAAAGCCACGAGAGGACCTGAATAAACCACACCAACACACACCAGGAGCAGCATCGCCATGCCTACCCACAGGGCCAGACACCCTCGCACTGCCAGGAACAGTCTTGGGGCCGACTGTGCCTTCACCCAGCAACAGGCAGCCCAGCACCTGCTCTGCGCTGCCGCAGCACTGAAGGCTTCTGGCCTCAGCACTGACACCATCCCCAGCCTGCAGGGCTCGATAACCAAGGCATTACTGAAATCCTCCCGCTTCCACCATCTTTCAGTAAAAACTGCTCTTCCTGGACACCACAGGGATCTTCCTGCGTTAAAGCTGATCCTTAGTAAAGCTAAATCCAGTCACTTAATAATATAGCCTCTCGAGAAGCCTTATGCTTTATATTTAGGGCCCGGTGAGAGAGGACACAGCTCCTGCCCTGTTCCACTGCAGGACATCTAGTATTGGCAAGCAGTCATTTGTGACTGACCACTACTGAAGGTGCAGCTGAGTTCTGCTGGGTTACTGCTGCAGTATCCCTCACCCTGACCCTGGGGAACATGAGTTCAGATTTAAAGATGCATCAACATGGCCAAGGCTGAAGTTTAAAAGTAGTTAGTTTGCTCAGCTCTTGCTTAAGCTGCACAGCAAGGCCAGAAGCCTTGGAGGGCATTGGCAAAGCCAGCTGAAGATTAGTTAAATCCTCTTTAGGAAGAGGGTTTTACTTCCACTTACTTTCTCCCACCCAGGAGGACTGACAACCTTTGCATTATCAGACTGACCTTCAGAAGGGCTCTGTTCTGCACAGAGCAGGAAAAATTCAGGCATTTAAAACTATCATAAAGAAAGCTTTCATACATTGGCTGGCAGAAGCTATCAAGACAGGCTTTGAGGTGGGTACTGTGCACAGTCAGATAACAATAGCATGAGCATTCCTACAGTCTGCTGCAAACACCAAGCTTTTTTTTGAGCCCTAAAGCACTTCTATCTTCCTCTTTAATATGGGTGGAGCTTAGGCAACTCCAAACACCTCGGTAGACCACGAAAGCACCCATCCCTCCTGCCCTAGCACTGTTGTAATCTGAGCTCAGCCAGGCATTAGCACAAGGGCAGCTGGGAGGGCACAGGGCCAGACACATCCCCTGCACCAACGCTGTGGGAGCAGCGACAAGCCCTGAGCTTCCCACCGCAGCTCAGAGCCCCTGCCTGGGCATCACCTCGCACTGGGGCTCACCACCAGCCTGCATACATGTGGGCCCTCAGAGTCACTCCAGCACTGCTCACAGGAGCCAACAGCTCACTACCACTCCACAAGTCTTCCTTGTGCCTTCCCATCCTACATAGGGCAAGGCTGCGGATTCACCCTGGGTGAAAGGACCTTGGCGGGCATGCAGGGCAGGAGTTGTGCTATTCCATGAATCAGACAACCTTTATTAGTAGCAGATGAACAGAATTAACACCTGGGAATTAAAACCAGCTCCTACCCCAAAGCCCAGACTCAGCTGGGGATGGCGCTGTGTTGTCAAAGTCCTGGGGCCCCTATGACACCTTCCTGCCAGGAGCTGCCTCCTGTGCTCCAGCCTTCCCCCCCTGGCCAGCACCCAGAGCTGCCTGAGGCTTCCTTGCCTTGGCTTTACCTCCCTTCTTTGAGGCAGCTTCCTGGGCCTCCTCAGGAACCTTCCCTTTGCTCTTGGCTGCGGGGGCCTTTTTGGGTCTCTTCACCCCAGCAGGGCGGTCAGCACTGTCCTCTCGCACACCGCTGGCAGCAGGAGCTGCAGGGGGCTGCGGCCGCCCTTTGCCAGCGGCCCGGTGGGCCTTCACTCCATGACTCCTGGGCTTCTCCACCGCCGGCTGGGCCTGGAGGGGACAGAGTGCTTCAGGCCGCTGCCATGCCCCATCCCACAGCTTAGGTGCAGTGCTGGCATCCCCTGGCCCCCTCACCCAGCCGTACTCACATCTGCATCCTTTGCCCTCGGCCTCCTCTTCACTGCTTTCGGCTCCTCCTTGGCAGTGCCTGCAGAAAAGCAGCAGCAGATGAGCACAGGCAGAGCACCTCACCGGAGTCCGCCCCAGACCCCGGCCATTACCTTGCCCTCCGTCGCTCCGCGCCACCGCAGGGGCTCGGGCAGCCTCGGCAGCCCCTCTGCGTCCGGTCTTCGGGGCCGGTCCCTCCCCGGGATCCTCCTGGCCCTGCGCCTGTTTCTGCTGCAGCCTCTTGGGAGCGAGCTAGAAGCAGGGAAGGAGCAGAACGTGGGAGCAGCCGGCATCGGCAGCGCCCAACCCCAGCCCCGCTCTTGCAGCCCCGCTCACCTTGAAGCGCCCCGTGGCCCCCAGGGCGGCGGAGTTTTGGGGCCGCACCAGGAAGCCGCGGCTCAGCCCCGTCGCCAGCGCCCGCTTCAGCAGATACTTGAGGCGCACGGGGTCCACCGTGGGGTACTTGGCCAGGATGAAGCGCTTAATGGCGACGACTGAGGCGCCCTTCTTCCCGTCCTGCGCCTGCAGCGCCTCGAGCACCATGTGCAGCGTGGGGGGGTGGCGGCTCCGCCGGCCCCGGGCAAGCAGGCTGGAGAGCCGGGCAGCGCCGGCGGCTTTGGCTGCGAGTGATACAGAACGGCGGCGTGAGGCGAAGGCGCTCACAGCCCCGAGGGCTGCGGTCCTCCAAAGCCAAACAGCGTCACCGCGCCCGTTCCCAGAAAAGGGAACCGCGGTGCCCGCACCCTGCAGCCCCAACCTGGTTGGGACTCCATGACTGCGCAGCTCCCAGACGCCAACCAGGCACCGCAGCCTCAACCCAGCTCTCAGGCCCACCTCACCTGCAGCTGATTTATCTGATTCGGCACGGTGACGGCGAGGGCCGGTTGGGCAGCCGCTAATTGCCGGCTTCCCACCGCAGTGGACACAGGTGAGCCCGAGCGCTCCTGCCCAGATCTTTGTGAGAGGCTGAAAGAAGAAAGAATGCTGCGAGCAGATGGTTGGAAAAGGACGGAGCGGGAGTGGCGGCCGCAGGCACGTGCTGCGAGCTCCTCTAAGCACTGCGGGCCGCGTGGGGCTCCTGCAGCAGCCGCAGTGTTTGCCCGCGCCTCGCGCGCTGCCGGGCTCAGAGCACGGCGCTCCCGGCCCCGCGCGGCAGCCCTACGTGCCCCTCTGCAGGGCCGGCGCTGCACTGTGCCGTAGGGCTCAGCGCGGGTGGCCGAGCCGCATCACCGAGCGGCCACTGAGCACCGCGTGGCTCTGCGGAGCAGTGCCTCCACGGGCGGCGACAAACACGCGACCATCCTCCTCTTCCCTCCAAAGCAGCCCTCGGATTTGAAGTACGTGAGTCAGACATCAGCCTAAACACTGAATTATTCATAAACCGTTAATCTTCAGATTTCACTGAATATGCACAAGTATCGATAAAAAAAAATAATGAGAGAATTGTACTTGCAAATTGCTCTTTATTAAAGATTTAACTTGCATGGGTTCTGTATGTTCCTTATTAGACCTCGCGAAGCTGCATAGGATTAGAAATCAGAGAGGATAATAATGTACAAAAATAGTTTCAAATGTTGATAACGCTGAACAGCAAGAAAAACATCTTATTTGTATAACTGAGCTAAAAATAAAAATGAATAACACTGCTACAATTGCAATATGCCATCTTGTAGTGCCTGGAACATATGCCGGTGTCTCTGCACCATATGCTCCCATGTCTTGCCTTCTCTAACACAGAGGAAGCTCAGCAATGCACCAATCCGTCCTCAAAAGCACAAGCACCGGCCAAAGCCTCCTATGTGGGCTGACGCTGAGCTGGGCCGCAGCGGACAGGGAGGGTCTGTGGATGGCTGAGAGGGAAGGGCTGCGTCCTGCCGGGGGGCAGTGAGTGGGGCTGCCAAGGAGCCAACACCGGGAGCATCCAAGCACGCCCAGCCATAGCGGGACACAGCTGCACCACGCTGTGCCACCTGCTCAGAGGTGGGATCTGCACCCTCACCTCTGCCACACAGAGGGCACGTGTGTGCCAAAAGCCACCCATCATCCCAGAGCTGCTGCAGTGTCCTTCTGAGGTGCTGGGCAGGGCCGGGCACGGAGCTCTGAGCAGTGGGTATCCGGCGGTGCTCAGCCTGCCCCAGCACAGCCCCCTGCACCATGGCCATGGCCCTGGTGGCTGCAGGCTCTGTCTGCAGCAGTGGAGCCGGGAGGGGCTCAGCCCCTGCCCCACTGAGGCCCTCAGGTTGGGGTGAGGGAGGTGGCAGTGGCTCCGCCGTGCCCGGGCTTTGCAGGGCCTGCATGGTGCAACAGGTGTGAGCTCTCAGTGAATCAACAGAGAGAGAAGCACGGAGTTATGCCAGTGGAGGAGCTAAGCTTTTGCATTTTAATTATAAAACGTGTACATTTTCACAGCCTTGTTCCCAGGGTTCCTATGGTTGGGAGAGCAGCCCGCCCCGCAGGGCTGTGCTGAAGCGGGCAGGCGCTGGCAGTGGGCAAGGTTGGTGCGTTGGGACCTATGCAGGGGACACCTGGCTGGTGGAGACGGAGGAGGTCTCTGTCTTTCCAGCAGATGTGTCCTCATCGCCCAGCGGGTTCTTGCCGCAGCAGAGGGTTGTGATCATGCAGTTACGGAACTGGAAGAGAGGGGAAGCAGCGTGGTGAGGGTGGAAGGCTGCTGAGGGGCTGCCTGCATGCTGGGCTCAGAGTTGGGGGTGGAGAAAAGTGAGCCCGGTAATGCCATGGGCACTGTCCAGTAGAAGAACTGCTGCAGCAGGAGGAACGCAGGTACACATCCCACGTGCTGCAGTGGGAACTGCATGGAACCCTCCAGCATGTCTGCACCAGGGACACTGTCCCGGTGAAGTCTCCCTCCCAGCCCTCAGCATTGGGGGAGGCGGCCCCAGCTGCTCCGCTGGGCCAGCATGCACATTTCTTAGGTGGGTGCTTGCATCAACGAGAGCTGCACAGCGTGAAGGAGTAAGCTGCACTTCACTGTCCTGCACACCAGCACGCAGTACCTGCAATCCCCTTGTGGCTCAGGGTGTGCTGGAGGTATGGGAGCTCCCCACAGCTGTTACAAAGAGAAGCACTACAGAGGCAGTCAGCTGGCAAGTTACCTGTTTGTTCATTACAATGTAGATCACAGGATTGTAGATGGCAGAGCTCTTGGCAAAGAATGCCGGGATGGTCATGAAGATGGGTCCGAAGTCTGAGCCCTGGTTAGTGAAGATGTAGAAAGCGACGCTGGCGTAGGGAACCCAGCAGATGAGGAAGGCGATGACCATGATGATCACCATGCGGGTCACTTCCTTCTCTGCCTTCTGGGTGGTGGCAGACTCCTGCTGCTGGGCGGCAGCCTGCGGGCAGAGAGTGGGGGGGATGGAATCGGGAGGGCTTGGCCCGTGTGGGTGCAGGACTGGAGGGCACCGCTCCCTTCTGTCGCCGTATGGAGCCCGGCACAGCCCCCAGCCCCTGGGCAGCACCCACCTCCTTCACAGTGCAGACCAGATTCCCATAGCAGAAGAAGATGACGGCCAGTGGGATCATGAAATGGACCACGAACATGTAGATGACAAAGGATTCATTGTTGATCTCTGGCTTCAGCGTGTAGTAGTCGATCCCACACGAGCACTGCATGCCCTCGGGGATGTACCTGTGAGCACACGGGGCGGTCAGCGCCAGCAGAGCTGCCCGCACCCTGCGCTCCATGCCCAGGCCCCTCCCTACCGTGACCAGCCGAACAGCGGGGGAGCTGCGCAGGCCATGGCCATGATCCAGGAGAACGCGACCCCCATGATGGCGTGGTTCTCTCCAAAGCGGAAGTTGCTCATGGGCTTACAGACCACCACGTACCGTTCCACAGCCAGGACGACGAGTGACCAGAGAGCGATTTCACCTGCACCAGGGAGAGAGGGATGAAGATATGGGGACTGAAAATGACGGGAGGACAAAGGCACACCATTCCTGGCACGGGGAAGACCCCATCAGCAGCGAACCTCCATCCAGTGCTCAGAGATGGGACAGAACAGAAGACAAGTACCAGTGCGGTGAGGAGTCAGAAGATGCCTGCAGACCCCCAGCGGTGACCGCTGTGCTGCTGCGCCTCGGGATCCACTGCTGGATCCTGCCCTCCTCCCGCACAGCACTGCATCCACGTGCCCACAGCCCCACTCTGATCTGCAGCACTGCCTCCAGGTTCTGCTCAGGTCGTCTGTGCCTCGGGGCCCAACCCCGCCAACAGCTGCCTGCTGGCCAGGGAGGCTGTTCTCAGACACACAGCCCTAGTTTAACACTGCTAATCACCGGCTGGATGGCACAGTGGAGGCAGCTTTGCTGGGCTGCACTGCACTGCACTTCACAGCAGTAACGCTCAGCCCCACAGCTCCAGAAGAAGCCGTCAGCTCTCCTGTCAGAAAGCGAGCCAAAAGGATGTGCAAATCCAGCAGCTGCACAATCTGCTGTAGGTTACTTTTCATGGCTACACGGTTGCTTGCAGGAGATGGAACAGGTGGCTACCAAAATAAGGCTTAAAAAAGAAGTGCCATTTGCCACTTTCTTCACCTCCCACCCCGTAGCACTGCAGCAGCAGCAGCAGCAGGGCCTGGCACGCACCGCCCGGCTCTCCAGGAGCAGCTGGGCATCCTCACGCCCTCTCCTGAAATCTGGGGAAATTTCTGTCAGATTATTGAAAATTTGGAGAACTCACCGCCCAGCGTAGCAAAGAAGCCCTCGATGTAGCACCCTGTTACTCCGAAGACAAAGTACCCGTTCATCGAGGTGTACATGGTGGTCGTGAAGCCTCCAAAGACCATGAAGAGGTCGGCGACCGCCAGGTTCAGGAGAATGTAGTTTAGAGGCGTTCGGAGTTTCTTGTGCTGGATGGTGACGTACAGCGTGAGGAAGTTGACGGGGAAGCCGAGCAGGATCAGCATGAACATGTAGGCAGCCAGCGCCGAGAACTTCCACGGCTCAGCCAGGTAGTACTGGGGGTACTCGAAGGGGCTCCGCACCACCCCGGTCTTGTTGGACATGGGCACGTAGAAGTCTTGGCCTTCCGTCCCGTTCATGGCTGCGGTTTGTGGGGCGCCTCTCAGTCGCACTCAGTGTCAGGTTTTGTGAGGGGGAATCGCCCCTGCAGTTGGGCTCCACCACCGCCCAGCCTTCGCTGTCGCCCCGCAGAGAAGCGGCTGTCGGGCGTCCCTTATAAAGTGCCCCCTATGGTAAGCTCCAGGCATCGGTGTCAGCGCGATTAGGGCTAAGAGAGTTATTAACCATAATTATCCAGGGGTAATTGGCTTTTCTGGGCAGGTCTTAAGGTGACACCTGTTTCTGGCCCACACTGTCATTGTTGGAGACCATGGTTCATGGTCATACACAGGCAGATAGCTGTACTGCTTGTGCACTGGAACTGGAGGGCGGCCCCACCTGCACAGCTCACTCCCCAGCATGCTGTGCCACCGCCTGAGGGCTGAGCGCCTGCTGCCTGGGCCCAACGCACTCATTGCATGCTGCAGCCAGGGCTGGACGCCCGCGGCCTGTGCTGCCTCTGCTCCACAGAGTGC